ACGGCACACGATGGGGTGGGTGGCCAAACACCACGCCCGGCCACCTTTGTCTCCCCAGTGGCGATGTTTTTACACACCGCACACACCGCAACAGGTACTCATTTGTGGCTGAGTCGACCTAGGGGAGGCCCAATACCGGTTCAGATAATCGTCACCGGCGTTGGCCGTGAGTGGGAATCCAACTCGGGTCGTTGGGTTCGTAACGCAGCGCCGTAACCGCTACACCACCGCTCCCCTTTAAGCACACACGAAGATAAATACACACACACAAAGATGCAGACAAAAATCCCCCGCATTGCTTTGTATATATTGTTGTTGAGCTTAGTGCTGTTGGCATACACACACACACACCGATAAACGCACACACAAAGATACAGACAAAGATCCCCCTCATAGCCTTAAACAATGTTGGGGCAAGTGCTGTTAGCGAGTACCTATGATGGCCGGAACAGCACACGACGGGGTGGGTGGCCAGAACCACGCCCGGCCGCCTTTGTCTCCCTCGTGGCGATGTTTTACACATCGCACCAGGTACTAATTTGAGGCTGAGTTGATCTAGCGGAGGCCCACGACGGATTCAAATCATCGTCACCGGTGTTGGCCGTGAGCGGGAATCGAACCCGGGTGGCCGGGTTCATAGCGCAGCGCGCTAACCGCTACAAAGATAAGAAAAAGATCCCCCATATAGCCTTAACAGACTAGGGGCAAGTGCTGTTAGCGAGCACCTATGAAGGCTGGAACGGTACACGAGGGGGTGAGTGGCCAGCACCACGCCCGACCGCCTTTGCCTCCCCAGTAGCGATGTTTACACACCGCACCAGGTGCTCATTTCAGGCTGAGTCTACCCAGGGGAGGCCCGGGACCGGTTCAGATCATCGTCACTGGTGTTGGCCGTGAGCGGGAATCGAACCCGGGACGTCGGGTTCATAGCGCAGCGTAGCGCTAACCGCTACACCACCGCTCCCGCTACACGCACAATCGCATACTTGTAACATGACGCACGTCCTCATTACCATCACAAATCCTCAATGAAGGAGTGTTAAAGTGCGTTCCACCGATCGAGTCATTCAACGGCGAGCACGCGGAAGAGTGAGTCAACGCCACCGAAGACAACAAAGATGCCCCCCCCACCAACCCCTTACTGCCCTCCGTGGACTGCTGAGGAGCAGGTTGCTGCTGGCAGGCACAGAACAACTCGCTCGCATTGAGGGGAGATTCCCACGAATGACCACGGCTACTCACCAACTCCCACGACAATGGTATAATGATGATTTGTTTATATTTCTTGTACTTTGCACTCCTATCGTGTGTGTGTGTAACTGTTTGCTGGTTTAACGTTCTTACCCCGTGCCCCGACTGGACATCTGTATTAAAAGAGCTTCACAGCTTTATCGGATTCCTCCTGTGGTATAAAAGCAAGATTCGAATTCTGCTCGTGCTGGCTGCGTACGGAATTTAATCCAGCGCGCACCGCGGGGAGCGCGAGCGATCGCCACCCGCCCTACCCCCGCAAGCCCCCTTTGCGATTGAAGGAAGGGTCGCGCACATGGCCGAGTCACCGGGGTCATAGGACCTATGAAGCTCAAAGCCAAGTCGCCTGTGGATGCTCCCGCCGATTTGAATCTGTAAGTGTCGCGAGAACCCATGCAAGCGAAGAGCAAAGAAAGAACAACAACCTGCGCCGTTAATAGGAGGGTGCGAGGCAAAATCACATTGTGTGTCCCCCCCCCCCAAAGCGCGGGGCCCGGGGCAGTCGCCCCGATTCGCCGTTCCCCTTGGAACGGCTCTGACATACAACACAGCTCAACACGCCCCGTGTCAACAACAACACTGTGCCTGGATGGCCTGAAAATGGGAAGAAAAAACAATAACGGGCGACGTTTCGGCCAATGGCCCTTCTTCATTCCACATAATGGATTTCGGGAAAAGATGTATGCGCTATTAAGAGTGCTATTGCCCGAAACGTCGCCGAAATATTTTTTTCTCCCTTTCAAGGCTACGGTGTTATTAACGAATTTGTTGCCGTGCAGGAGGGGGGGGGGGGTGCATACGATAAATATAGTGCAGGCCGGAAAAACCACGAGTTTTAAAAAAACTACTACACGCAGACATCACGTGCACAACGAGGCAATCCACCCCTTGCGCGTTATGCAAAAACAACAACCGATCGGCAGTTCCTAAACACCCGCATTGTGGTCCTCCTTGTCTTGGGTCAGCATCAAAATACGTTTGAGCCGAATTGACGCCGACGGTAAGGCAGCATGCGGACAGAAAAAAAGTGGGTCAGAATTGCTCAGATTGATGTTGATGGCGAATTAAGACATGAAGACCACGATCCAATTCTTCAGGAACTGTTGATGGGTTGTTTTTTTTGTTGCACAGTGCGCGTGTCTGCATGCAATCACAACGGCCATCGATTCCTTCCTTCTGCCAGATGCACACACGGCTCTTGTCATCATTGTAATCATCTCGCTCGTTTGCCCAGGAGAGCCTCACTGAGCCTCAGCGCTCATTTTCAGGAGGGTCCTGCCACAGGTACATTTATCAGCATTGTTACATTATGGAGCCTTGCTGCAAGTATCAAAGTATGAAACATTATAAGAATAGATTTTACACTTTCTGGCAATAAAACAGTAGGTGTGAAGATGTTCAAACACCAAAAATAAACCTTTTGCAAGGAATCGTGTCTGCATTAACCACACGTACTTGTGATGAACATGCAAACAACCATGCTCAGATTATAATACGTGCAGTGGGTTCCACGGACACATACACTTGAGCTTGGAGGCAACACGCTTATTCTCACACCCCAACAGGGTAACTACGTGAACGTACACCGGTTAACTAGACCACAACGGGGTATCTACATAAGCGGGTCAGTCAGTAACACACTGCCTGACCCACGACGCCGAGCGTAAAGACAGAGGATCGAGGATCGAAGAGACGCAGCACCGACGGGTTCCATTCCAACAGACAGCCTCGATCGGCTCTCGGGACCTCCCTTTCATGCCCCTGAGCGTGGCCTGGCTCCGCCCTCGGCCACGCCCCCTTCTAGATCCGACTAGAAGGTTCTGGGCTATACATCACGTGTCCCTCTCGACACCTTTTGGCCCCCCTCATTATCCTCTCCTGGTCACGTGCCCTATAGGGTTCACCCAGACTGTCACGTCCTTAACTGCCCCCTCTCTGACAGTCACCAGAACCATGTCCCCTAGGGCCCCCCTTCCATGCCATACATACTCTGGTGCCAGAGAGAGGCTCTAACACGCACAGTTCCACTCTTGTACGAGTAGTTGGCGCTAAACGCCGTAGTGACTCAATATACGTCACTACATCTGCATTGTCTTTGAAACTGATTGGCCTACCCTAGAGACAGATTTGTTTAGGGCCTAGTCTCACGATCAGTGTCAGACCAGAGAACAACGCCAAAAGGCGAACAGCAAAAAGATAAACCTGTTTCATTGCCATAAAGAGTCAAACCTATTCTTCTATTTTAGTCATACTTTGATACTGGCAAAAAGGTCCCATTTTGTAGCTGCTCATCCCAAGCTGTAAGCGCTCTGATAGTGGCATTGTCTTTGTTACTGTTCGCCTTTTGGCGTTGTTCTCTGGTCTGACACTGGCCATGAAGAAGGCTGTCTCTGCTGTCTCTCGTGTAGGCAAATCAGTTTCAAAGGCAATGCATAGTTCATTATCATCATCATCAGAGCATGTTTGTTTGCATGTTCACCACAAGTACCTTGCATGGTTAATGCAGTTACTTGATTCCTTGCAAAAAGGTTTATATTTGGTGTTTGAACGTCTTAACACAACTGGCTTTATTGCCTGCAAGGGTAAAACCTATTCTGAATTTTTTGTTCATACCAGTTACATTAACAAACAAGATGGTCAGATCGTGTCTTCGTCCTATGCTCCTCATCACGTGAACAAAACAAAACATCTTCACGCATCCCATCAGCCAGACGGACGCATGGGAGTGCATATATTTCAGCAGCATTGAACCGATACATCGATTCCACTCAGATAATCTATTCGCCCCCAAAGCAACCGAAGCGTTGTGTGTTATTGGGCGTCAAACTCAGTCCCACGTCCAACAGAGGAGGATCCTTTGCCCATAACATCTGGCAGCTCACCAGCACCGATTCAGAGGACCTTAGAATCAGAATTTGTATTTGCACTCGAGGAATCCGATGATGAGACACTGAATGTCGAAACTCGTCCCGGGTTTGCTCCTATCGAACCAATGCTGCTAAAATAATTCACTCCCGTGTAGCTGATGGAATGTGTAAAATAATAATAAATAAATAATTGCGCACAGTAGCCGGTATTTTGTTTTACCTGAAGGGACAGGAAGATGTGGGAAGGCGGCCTATAAATAAATGCATGTTTACGTTATAAAAAAAAAATACACATTCGTCAAATACACCGTGGCCTTAAAAAGGAAGCGACGTTTCGGGTAATGGTCCTTCTGCATAGCCCATACAGGTAGAGTGTGAAGAAGGGCTATTGCCCGAAACGTCGCCTATCACAGTCAATACGTTTTTTTTCAAGGCCACACACACAGACACAAAGATCCCCCGTATAGCCTTTACAGACTGTTGGAACAAGTGCTGTTAGCGAGTAGCACCTACGAAGGCCGGCACGGCACAAGGAGGGGGTGGGGGTGGCCAGCGCCACGCCCGGCCGCCTTTGTCTTCCCAGTGGCGAAGTTCACAACAGCGCACCGGCTACTCATTTGAGAGGCCGAGTCGACCCAGAGGGAGGCCCAGCACCGGTTCAGATAACCGCCACCACTGGTGTGTTGGTGGCCGTGAGCAGGAATCGAACCCAGGCCCGCCGGGATGAGTAGCGCAGCGTGGCGCTAACCGCTGCACCACCGCTCCCCACCAAGGCGACAGCGCCAATGTTATATTCAATCAGGGGGGCGGTGGGGGTGCAATGAGAATGCCCGAGAACCGGAAGAGCCATATAAGGAGTTTGTCACTCCCCGCGGACGTCACCCGCCCGAGTCTATATATAGACCCAGGGACCGCTCTGTGTTTAGACGGCTCAGAGCGCGCCGGTCATCATCATCATCGTCGGCATCGACGCAGCGCGCTCGGATGGGTTCAATTAACGGCGACTAATCCTGCGACTGTGAATTCGTCGCGAAGAGGGCCAGCTGGATCATCGGCCCCGCTTATAGTAACAATTAACGTTCGATTGACGCGAGCGCGCGCGCGTGTGTATATATTTAACAAATATATATTCGCGCGCGCGCGCGCCCGTGTCGTTCGATAGGGGTTTTGAACGACGTTCACGGTGTCCACAACACCAATAGTGAGGCTACCGAGGAGACTTCGTCATCGACGGCGGTATTTTAAATCGATCGGTCGTCGGTTCGTCATTGGGACCTCCGGAGAGATGACGCGACATCAGAAGCCGTCGCTTGTCGCCCCCGGCATCGTTGAAATTAAGAGCCAGGTAAGGATTTTGTGGCGGGGGGGGGGGGCGGTTTGGGGGGCGATTTCGCTTAAATGTGTGCGTACCGCGTGCGGTTACGGCAAAATTTAAAGCGACGCGAATTTTCTATTTGTAAATGGGATAAGCGCAACGCCAGTTACTCCTCCGCATAGCCGCACACACAGGACAAAGATCCCACACCCCCCCCCCCACCGTGTAGCCTGTCACAGACTGATGGGGCAAGTGCTGTTAGCGAGCACCTATTAAGGCCAGGGTGGGTGGCCAGCGCCACGCCCGGCCACCTTTGTCTCCTGAGTGGCGATGGGGTTTTTTTTTTTTACACCGCACCAGGTTTCCTCATTTGGGGCTGAGTCGACCTAGGGGAAGCCCCGGGACCGGTTCAGATAAATCGTCACCCGGTGTATTGGTGGCCGTGAGCGGGAGTCGAACTCGGGGCCGCTGGGTTCGTAGAGTTATTACATTCACATCTTCATACGCGCTGTGTTTACAAAGATCCCTCTCACGCCCCTCCCGTTGTCGTGGGTTAGGGGGGTGGGAGCGAGGGGGGTCATTTAACCATACTTCACCACTCTAGTCAATGCAAGATCGCACCTCCGATTGGCACGGTTCGCTACGTACGGTGCGAAAGAAGTTCAACATACGAGATGCGTGCATAAATACGAGCACGTACAGGACGTGCGTATACATGTACACACAAAGACAAAGTTCCCACACCGCGCGTGTAGCCTGCGCAGGCTGTTGGAGCAAGTGCATGGTGATAACTTATTCACATCGGTACGACGCACAAAGGTGTCATTACCGATTCCATCTTTCCATTATTTTTTGGGGACAAAATATTTTCCTGCCCGGCCACGGCTAACATCAGTGGCGAGTGATAATCCGAACCCGTTCCCGGGCCGCCAGCCCTTCAACAACCCGTACTGACCGGCGTGGTGAAGTATGGTCAAACAGGCACCGTAACCAGCACGCAACGGAGAAAGAGACCTTCATCCAGCCGTGGTTTGGATGGGCTCGTCTCCCCGTCGTAGGAATGTGGAATTTCCACTTAAATGCTTGTTTGCATTGGGTTGTGTGGCCCATGCTGCCACGAGAGATTGCTACATTAGCCGCAACGTTGATTTTAATCTAAACGCCGAATTGTTTTTACATCTACTGTAAAAAAAAGGTAAAGGGCACAGCCCTGAAACTGCTCACTCGCGCCACTGCCGATGGAAGGGGCCTCCGCTTGAGGGATCTCTGGATAGGGTTTTTAGTCTACTCTTCCACGTCCATCCATCCATCTGTCCATCCATACATGTCCATCCATCAGTTCATCCGTCCATCTGACCATCCACTTGTTCATCCATCCACTTGTTCATCCATCTGACCACCCATCCACTTGCCCACCCATCCACTCCTGCATCCATTCACTTGTCCATCCATCCGACCATCCATCTGACCATACATCCACTTGCCCACTCATCCACTTGCCCACCCATCCACTTGTCCACCCATTTGTCCACCCATCCACTCCTGCATCCATCCACTTGCCCACCCATCCAATTAACTCGCCCTTCCGCCTGACCCGTCCGTCTGTGCGCCCCGTCCACCAGTTCGGCGCGGAGTTCCGGCGCGTGTCGATCGCCCGGTGTCCACCCCCGCGTTTGGAGGAGTTTCGGGCCCTGCTGCTGAGGCTGCACGGCCTGGCAGGGATGGTGGGAGGAGCGAGCGCAGGAGGCAGCAGGAAGACAGCAGCAGCAGCAGCAGCAGGAGGAGGAGGAGGAAGACGAGGAGGAGGAGGAGGACGAGGTGGAGGGGAACTGGCCGTGTGCTACACGGTGTCCGACGGGAGTCTGCTACCCATCACGAACAGCCACAACTTCGCCAAGGCCATAGCGGGGGCGGCACCGCTCCTGCGGATCACCGTCACAATCGCAGGTGAGGGGCTGAGGTGGGGCGACCATGCCGAAGGTGCAGGGGCCGTTGTTAACTACCTCGCCGGCTATGCAGGAGGTCGTGGGTTTGCTTCCGACCCTGACGACACCTGCTGTATATTTGGAGTTTGGATGTCTCTCTTCACGTGCTCGCGTGGATTTTTTTCTCCGGGTCTTCCCGTTTTTTCCCTCCACATTTAGAATCAACAACGTGCGTTTCGAGTGTTTGGCTGCTGTGCATTTCCACGCGATAAGCCACTTCGTTGAGCTGTCATTTGTGATAGCCAGGTCGCATCTGAAAGATAGCTATCTTGGCTCAGTGGGTCTTACCTGGTAAAATATAAATAGTTATCGTTAGTTGGACTGACGGGAATATTCATTCGTCAGCGTCACGTGGAACACGTGTACACACGCACAGAACACGTGTTCACACGTGCACCCGAGATCTCAATCTCGATTTGAATCGGCCCTGTTAACACGGACAGCGTGAATTGTTTAGCGCGTCGGGTGTGGGACGCGTTTAGCCACGATCGGGCGCGCGCAGCGTCGAACGAGGCAACTTGTATTCGAAAGGTGGAGGGGCGATACGCGGAACGACGGCGCTTTGGCGGAGGGGAGTGCGGGAAACCCGTGAGCGAGACGCGTTCAGTCGGAAAAATCTCTCTGTGGACGTTCAAGATGGGAACGTTCCCCCGTGGATGGGACCAGGGGAGCTCAAGCCTTAGCCCCCCCCCCCCCCCCCCCCCCGTTGTGTTGGAAATGACGCCACCACAATCGCGGGGTTTTGATGTTTAGTTTTGTATTTTTTTCGGGGCCCTCGCCGCTGCTATTTTTAAACCTTCGGCACCAAAATAAGACTCCGGTTTTTATTGCTGGAAATTCCGCCGGCTGGGCAGAATTTAACCAGGTGCGATTACCCAGGCGTCCGGTTGTCAATCCACTGCTGGATGAGGGCCCCCCCCCCCTCCCCCACGCCACGCGGGTCAGTTTGGGTCGGCGCGGGGTCTGCGTGGGTCGGGGAGCATGGAAGCGCGGTACAGCGGTGGACTTTTGACGTTGGCCGCGCCGCCCTCTGCCGCCCCGCGGCCGCCTGTGGCAACCTGGCATGCATGATGCCGGGAGAACTATCCAGGCTCGACCCCTGCTTAGCTGAGAAGAGGCGTGCCGAGGAGATGGGGGCGCACGCCCCGGGGAGGGGGTGATAGTTGATACTATAGTCGCCCACTGCCATGCGGCAGTGCGCGACTATCAGAAATTGCCTTGCGAATTAGCCGGGCGGCGGTGGTGGCAGTGGTGGTGGCGGTGGCTACGCTGCTGCTGCTGCTGCACGTGGCTCCCTGTAGTCCCAAGCCACTGTTTGGAGGCATTTTATAAATTTTGGCAAATTTGGCAAATATGGGCCCAAGATGCCGGCACACGATGGCCTGCACTTGTGAATGGCGTCGGTGGGGGGTGGGGGGGGCGGATTCTTCAACGTCCGACGCGAGTGAAGCAGACGGCGCCGTCGGAGTATCACTTACGGTTGTCCACGGGCTACCGCCGCAGTAATAACCAGGGCGGCCGCCTTGTACCGAACCGCGAACTTCTGCAGCAAGCGGGGAACGCGCCGCCGCTGGGCCACGTCAAATGTCGGGAGGTCGGCTTCGGCGTAAATAGCGGAGCGACAGCCATCATCATCGTCGGCATAGCTTTTATCATAATCGTAATAATTATCATCATCATCATCCTCGCAGTAATTTTCATCAACATCACCGGCATCGGTGATGTTGGTTGGGGGGGGTAGTGAATTGTTCCACCTCCCTTAAACGGAACGGGATGCTTGCCAAACCGAACATAATGACAACACGAAAGCATCGCTCCACGGTGGCGTCATGGAGAATTTTTTATAACCAGGCGGGTAGCGCCTCCTCCCCCATACTCGTCCCCCCACGTCAAAACGAAATACCGCACGAGAACATTCATTTTACTCAATCCATCGGCCGCACGGCCTTCTGGGAGTCTCGTCGTCGTCATCATCATCAGCAGCAGCAGCAGCGGCGGCAGCATCGGCTCAACGCGAGCGATACCCCCCCCGCGGGGGGGGGGTCGTCTTTCGACACTCGGTGCCTCATCAGCCGTCTTTTCGGGCGGGATCATTTTGCCACCACAGATCCCGTCCGCCTGCTCCTTCGCAGTGCGAGTGCCGCGTTGGGCGCAGGGGGCAAATCGACCGTCGCAGCGTTTGGAGACGAGGCTCGGCTCCCCGGCTGCCCCCCCACTCCCCCCCCCCCAACCAGTCCGCCAGGCAATTTGTATTCCGCTCGCACGCGGGCCTGCAAGCGGCGGCGGAAATTGAGATTTTATCTCTTTGACAGCGCCACGCGAAGGGGTCCGTGGTCGCCGACGAGTGGCGTGGCCGGAGCGAAATCGCCGGGCGGGCCGCCCCCCTCCTCCCCCCCCCCCCGACTTCGGCAGCACCCCCACCCCACCCCAAACCCACGCCCAGCCCCCCACGATTCCAAAAATCCAGGGTTCACGGTTGTATTCGCGAGTAGATTACGCGTACATTTGTATTTCCTCGCGGCGAATGTCGCCTGCGAGGGCGACGCGAGGCCGTGACGCCAACGCGCGCGCACAAAGACAAAGATCCCCCGTGTAGCCTCAACAGACTGCTGGGGCAAGTGCTGTTAGCGAGCGGCACCTAGTGAAGGCCGGCACTGTGGCACACGAGTGGGTGGGTTGCTAGCACCACGGCCGGCCGCCTTTGTCTTCCCAATGGTGATGTTTATATATCATACCAGGTGCTTATTTTGAGGCCGAGTTGAACTAGGAGAGGCCCAGGACCGGGTTGCTCGGGTTCGGAGCGCAGCGCGCTAACCACTACACTACGACTCCACGCACACAAAGATCCCCCGTGTAGCTTTAACAGACTGTTGGGGCAAGTGCTGTTAGCGGGTAGCACCTGTGAAGGCCGGCACTGTGGCACACGAGAGTGGGTGGGTTGCTAGCACCACGCCCGGCCGCCTTTGTCTTCCCAGTGGTGATGTTTATTTATCACACCCAGATACTTATTTGAGGCTGAGTCGACCTAAGGGAGGCCCAGGACCGGTTCAGATAATTATCGCCGCTGTGCGAGCGGGAATTGAACTCGGGTGGGCCGGTTCATAGCACAGCGCGTACCCATACACACGTACATACACACGTACATACACACACACATGCGTGCCTGCGTATGTGTGTGTGTGTGGCAGTCGCTATCAGGACCATCTCTCCGCTGGGGTAGGTGTACCGTGAAGTGACTGTTAGACGACACCGCTGCAGGCACACGGCGCCACGCACAGCAGCCGGGGACGCGAGGGGCGGTGGGTGAGAAGGCGTCTAACCTCACAAAGTTTAGAATGTTGAGGGGCTATAATAATCACCTTACTGCGTGTCCCCTCCCCCACTCCGTCACTTCCCCAGCAAACTATTTTTGGGTTACTCACTCACAGTTTACACGTACGTTTGTATGTACGAACGTTGAGCTTATTATGCACCGTGCCTAGCCAACCGTGCTAATCGGGTTACTCGCTAACCACAGCCACCACCGCCAACATCGCAACGAACTCCTCCATGTGACATTCACAGCACCGCCACACGGCATCACGCCGTGAGTCACCGCCGCCGCTAACTTCTCCACCTCCCGTTCGCCCTCGGCAGACGATGCGCAGCTCGCCACCGCGGCCGTCTCCTCCTCCGCCATCGCCAAGCGAGGGGTGTTCTCCGGCCTGCGCGGGCGCGACGGCGCCCCCCACGCCCCCCGGCTCCCCGTGGGGCCCCCCCGGGACTTCCACCCGCTGTCGTCCCTCATCGACGTGGACGTGCTGCCGGCGAGCCTGCGTCGCGTGCGGCTCTACCGCCACGGCTCCGCCCGCCCGCTCGGCTTCTACGTGGCCGACCAGGGCGCCGACGGCAGGGCCCGGCTAGGGGGCCGCGGAGGCGCCGGCGTCTTCATCTCGCGGCTGCTGCCCGGCGGCCTGGCCGCCTCGTCGGGCCTCCTCTCCGTCGGGGACCGCGTGCTGGAGGTGAACGGCGCGCCCGTCGCCGGCAAGGGCCTGGACGAGGTGACGGCGATGATGGTGGCCAACGGGCACCACCTCGTCATCACGGTGAGGCCCGCGGAGCTGGAACGGCGGGACGGCGGGGATGATGGAGGAGTGAGGGGAGGAGGGATCGACGATGAGTTCTGGACGCGCGATTTGGGAAGCTCGGAGAGCTCTGTGCAGTCGCTGGCGTCCGACGGCAGCGAAGGGATGAGGCTATCGCGACGGGGGTCACAGCGCCATCATCATCATCAGCAGCAGCAGCAGCAGAAGAAGAGGAACCACGTCAAAGAAGAAGTCTCTCTGACCTCGCGGAGCGGTGGCGATTCGGACAGCTTGGCGTTGGCGCCGCTGCTGTCCGACACGGAACCGTGGGACAGCGAGGCGGAGGAGGAGGAGGAGGATTTGGTGATCGACCGGATCGGCGTCGATCGCCATGCGGACTTCTCCGCCGCCGGCAAGCCGGGCCGACCGCTGGCCACGTACGACGGCGGTGCGCGGAACTCGCCTTGGGCCCACCGACGGTCGGGCACCGTGACGGAGGAGGGTGGAGTCATCACGCTCTACCTCTGAGGTCCGCGTCGCGCCTCCGTCGCGATGCGGCGAGAAGTCCGGCGGACGTCTGCGGGTCGCGACGGATCGCCACTCGGTTCCCCGAACCGTCGGGAACTGGACCTTGCGGGCGATGGGTCAGAGCCGACGGGCGACCTGGGAGATCCCGATCCATGGATGGCGGTGAGGACAAGGTCACTCGAGACGGGTATTGGAGTGGCACCCAATGCCCCACGGGAAGAGAAGAACTAAGCGCAGGTGATGGTGCCGACGACCACAATGACGATGATGATCACGATGATGGGACTGTTGAAGTGGTTCCTAGTGGTCGGGTGTTACCTGTGCAATGGCCGGAGAAACTGGCAGAAGGATGGAAGTGATGGCGTGGTGGCCTCGGTAGCACTGGCCGTCATGACCTATTGACCTTGTTTTTGGGACAGGTGGGGTTGGTGGAACACGCGCAGAGGGTGCGGTGCTCATGTTCATCGACCACAATCGGATGACGGCGATGATGCTCATGCAGACTATGGCTACGACGACGATAAGGATGACGACGATAATGAAGGTGATGCTACTGATGACGACGAAGATGACGGCGAAGACTATGTCAGAGCGCGTCGGGCCCACAGTCGGGGTTTCGAACTCGCAACGTCCGCACTCGACGGCCGACCGTGGTTGCCACGCAGCCATGCACGCAGCACGTGCAGCTCACTTGCCGTAACAGGGGGCCACCGGCGATGCCTACCCTCGCCCCACTGCTCAAGTGTCACCGATGCACGTGGGTGGGTGGGTGGGGGCACAGAGCGGTGGCACCGCGGTTAGCTCACCGAGCTGTCAGCACGGTGACCCGAGTTCCATTCCCAGACTCTGCCTATAACATCGGTGTGGTCGGTGACATAGGGGAGTATCTTTTCTTAGTATTTTTATTTCACCAGGTCAGGCCCACTGAGCTGTGTAGATATATTTTTTAGAAGCGACCTGGCCACGAATGATAGCTCAACGAAGTGGCTTATCACGTGGAAATGTATAGCAGCCAAACACTCCAAACGCACGTTGTTGATCCTAAATGTGGAGGGAAAAACCAGAGGACCCGGAGAAAAATCCACGCGGCCACGGGGAGGGAGAGGTGTCGGGGTCATGATTGAACCCACGACCTTCCGTATACCAGGCGAGGTAGTTAACATCTCCTAGCCACCACCGCGGCACCCAACTCCTCCCGCCGCGATACGTCGGAACCACTCCTCCTACCGCCGCCCCCGCTTCTAACCGGCGTGGTGAAGTATGGTCAAACAACCCCCCGCGACCCGGCACATGGAGGTGGGGGGGGAGGGAGGCCTTCATCCAGCAAACGGATTGACAAAAAAGGCTGTAAATTATTATTATTATTACTATAACGGCAATTGTTGTTGTACGTAGGAGAGACGTTTCGCGACGGCTAAAGTCGTGACGGTCGCGTGTACAGCTGTTGTATCAAGTGCTCTTCACCGATGTCTTATATGCAAAAGGCGCCGCTGTCCCCCGTCCGGAGCCCGTTCCACGCCGCGATGCAAGCGGGGAACGGTGGCGCTGATTCATCTCGCACACCACCACCCGCCCGCCCGCCCCCCCCCCTGCACCGCCATTGGTGATGTGGGGGGGGGGGGGGGGTGGCGGGTACCACGATGCATCGTATGCTATATCATACGATATATCGTACGATACATTGTACGATGTATCGTATTGTACTGCATTGTACAATGTATCGTATGGTGCATCGTACAATGTGCCATGGTGTATCGTACGATATGTCGTATCATTATACATCGTACGATGCATAATCATGCGGTACATCGTACGATGTATCATATTATACATTGTACGATGCATAATCATACGGTACATCGTACGATGTATCGTATGATCATACATCATACGATGCATCATACGGTACATCGTACATCGTATGATGTACCGTATGATACTCGCACTCTCCCCCCACCCGCCCCCCCTGCACTGCCGTTGGCGAGGTGGGGGGGGGGGGGGTGGTGGGAGGGGCAATGTACCGTACGATACGTTGTGCGATGTGCCCTGTACGATGCATTGCACGATGTACCGTACGGTACATTGTATGATGTTCGGTATATACAATGTATCGTGCGACACGTAGTCGGGTATCATGTGATACATCTTCCAGCATCAATGTATCTTCCAATATTGTACTATACGAAGTCTCATAAGAAACTGTATGATGCATTGTACGAGACATCGCCCGGAATCATACGAGAATTCGTCGATGCTGGTGACTGACCCAATACCGTCAACATTATATCGTGCGATACAGAGTCGAGTATCGTGCGATACAATACAGTCGAGTATCGTGCGATACAATACATCGGGCAATGTACCGTACGATACATCACAACTCAGACTGTGAATATGTGTCTCTGTGTGAGTCTATGGGGTCTCTATGCGAGTGTGTACATCTCTACGCTAACCTCCGAATCTCTATGCGAGTGTGTGGGTCTCGATGCAAGTCTGTGGATCTCTGTGCCAGTCTATTGGTCCGTGTGCGAGTCACCGTTCACCAGGCCGAGACCACCGACTCGCCGCACTCCAGGATCCGCTTCGATCACCCGGGGGACGGCAAAACCCGGTTTTAAACCCAGGAAAAGATCTCGTCAGATGGCGTTCGGTGGACCGGCGTCTCCGACACGGCCATTTGTGAGCCTCCCGAACTATTCGGGCAACCGTTGAGCTCCCTCCGTTTCTTGCAATGCCATTAGCGGCAATTACGAGTGTAACGCAATAGGGCTACTGCAGGGAAATTCTAACCGGGTCTCACGATGCCTAAAACCGTCCAGTAATATATTATTTGTGCCCAGTGAATTATTTATGCAAATGGCTGTTGGTGTGGTGGGGGGGGGGGGTTGTTCCACCATGCGATTATTTCTAGAGGTGATGTTGATAGAAGAAGAAAAAAATATATGGCTTGCTATTGTGTCTTTCATTGCCTAGAGACCCCATCAGAGACCCGTCTCAGTCATAGTCCAGTCTGTCATTTCCTAGAGAGTCCAGTCTGCCTGTCATTGCCTAGAGAGACCAGTCTGTCTGTCATTACCTCGAGACCCCATCAGAGACCCGTCTCAGTCATAGTCCAGTCTGTCATTTCCTAGAGAGTCCATTCTGCCTGTCATTGCCTAGAGACCCCATCAGAGACCCGTCTCAGTCACAGTCCAGTCTGTCATTTCCTAGAGAGTCCAGTCTGCCTGTCATTGCCTCGAGACCCCATCGGAGACCAGTCAGTCAGTCAGTCTGTCTGTTGTTTAGTATTATCTCTCATGTAACTTTTAATGCATTTTTACACCACAAATTGTACTGTGAATTTTCTATATCGAATCCACTGAGCAGAAACGTTATACCGGGCGGTGATGATTGTTGAAAATGAAACTCGCGCGTGCGTGTGTGTTTTATATGTGTAAAAACTATTAAAATCTCTGAACAAAGTGGCATCGCAGAGTTGTGATGTAACACGGAAAAAGGGGCAAATCGCGATCTGTAAGCCGACCGGGGATGCTTCTTGAATTTCCAGATGCAAGACGAGGTTTTACCCTTTCTGGCAATAAAACCAGTTGTGTTAAGATGTTAAAACACCAAACAGAAACCCTTTTGCAAGGAATCAAGTAACTGCATTAACCACACACGGTACTCGTGGTGAACATGCAAACAAACACGCTCTGATGATGATGATAATGAACTATGCATTGCCTTTGAAACTGATTGGCCTACACGAGAGACAGCAGCAGAGAGAGCCTTCTTCATGGTCTAGTCTCACCACCAGTGTCAGACCCAGAGAACAACGCCACACACGGTACTTGTGGTGAACATGCAAACCAAAAAAAACACATGCTCTGGTAGTATATGATGATGATGCATTGTCTTTTAAACTGATTGGTCCACACCAGAGACGGCTTTCTTTAGAGCCTCGTCTCACTAACAGTGTTAGACCCAGAGGACAACGCCAAAAGGCGAACGGCACAAAGACACAATGCCACTGTCAGGACACTGAGAGCTCGGGGTGCTTTAGCATCTTAACACAACTGGTTTTATTGGCGGCAAGGGTTAAACCTATTCTGATATTTTTATATACTGGCAAGGGATGTCCCATGACATCAAACAAGGGTGACGACGCTGAGGATTCTATATCCAAAGAACCTTCTGGAATTACCACCGCCAGACGTCCACGGTCCACTCGGCAGTAACGTGGGACACCGTAGTTAGAACCAACAGGCGGCTCTGCGTGTTGGCGTTTGGGGGGGGGTCAGTTGAAGCAATTGGCGGGACCCCGGGGTCCCATCACTGCCCCGGGGTGGGAAAACCCCTCGTAGCGACACGAGTCTCGCTACCTTACCGACAACAAAACTCTAGTGGTCAATCGATTGGCCTCGTCGAGAGCTACTCGTGGCACTAAGTTTCGTAAAAAGTTGTAAAATGACACAAACACGTTAAATTCACTGCCTGGGGGGGGGGGGGGGGGCGGCGGTGGGGCTCGCCTTGGCAAAGAAGCTGAGGATCGACGGCTGACCGGAGGGCGTCGTCGCCCCCGGGGGCTCGCGTTTCGCCGGTGGGGGTGGCGCCCATCGTGGTGATCGCCGCCTGCTGCAGGCGCTTGTTGGTGCGAGTCTGGGCGGGCGGCGCGTTGCTGGCGGGGTCACGTAGTGGGCGGACTGAAACATAATAATTATTATTGACCTGATTTTTTGCGGGACCCCGGGGTCCCACCAAATGATTCTCTGTGTGTGTAGTTCTTCCCAGTGCCGGATGATCCTAGTAGCAAAAGTAGCTACATACGCTACGGGCCCCGCACTTTGAAGTACACACAGAGTGCACATGCAGTACACACACAGTGCACACACAATACACACAGTGGACACCGCACACGAGTAGGCACGCAGTACACACATAGTGCACACACGGTGCACACAGTACGCACAGTTCACACAGTTCACACAGTACACGCACGCAGTACACACACGGTGCACACAGTACGCACAGTTCACACACAGTACACACAGTTCACACAGTACACGCACACAGTACGCACAGTTCACACAGTACACAGTAGACGCACGAAGTCTGCATACACATTGCTTGTGTTGCAGTCGAAGCGTCGTGAGAATTTTATTGTTTTATATTTTTTATTATTTTATTGTTTCCCTTCTACGTGACTTTACCGAAAGAACCAAGAATATGCATGCACAGTACGCACGCAGGACACGCAGTACACAGTAGCCGCATGCAGTACACACACACACACAGTGCACACACAGTCGCACACAGTACACACATCCACAGTGCACACACAGTGTTGTCTCTGTGTGTGTATCTCTGTGTGTAAGGTGCTTGCTAACAGCACTTGCCCCTACAGTCTGTTAAGGCTATATGGGGTATCTTTGTCTTTGTAGTGGTTAGCGCTACGCTGCGCTACGAACCTGGCCACCCGAGTTCAATTCCCGCTCAAGGCCACCAACCCCAGTGACTATTATCTGAACCGGTCCCGGGCCTCCCCTAGGTCGACTCAGCCTCAAATGAGCACCTGGTGCGGTGTGTAGTAAACATCGCCACTGGGAAGACAAAGGCGGCCGGGCGTGGTGCTGGCCACCCACCCCCTCGCGTACCGTGCCGACCTTCATAGGTGCCGCTCGCTAACAGCACTTGCCCCAACAGTCTGTTCAGGCTACACGGGGGATCTTTGTATCTCTGTATAAGTTGCTGCTTCAGCACCGCACCGGCGTGTTGGAGAGTAAACCCACAACATTCGCAATTCGACGTTTCGCTGGTGATTACAACCAGCTTCATCAGGCAATCGCCGTAATTGTGAAGAAGTCTTCCTGTCGCGGTCTTCAATACAGGAGTAATAGTGTGAGCCACAATTTGTCACGCTTTGTTGCCCAATTGCCTGTGTCGGGTGGTGGAGGGTTTAACGACACATTCTTATTCATGCACACACATCTTGGCTTTGCCATTGAACCCCTCTCCTCCCTCCACATCGAAGACACTGGCGGT